CTCTAAGTCTTCCTACCAATATGAGCATGTTGCGAAAACAAGGTCAAACAACCTCTATACAACGAAAGGAAACTGCGATCACACAAAAGGCCACACCATCTTGGTCTTCATACCTTCACTCATAATGTTGACTACAATTTTGTCGAAACGTCTGAGAATGTAACAAGTCCACGTTACTAAGCTGGAAATTATCATGTCTACTCTGGAGAATTAGTTCAGATAAGGTGCGTTAATTTTCCTCGCTTCGAAAACACGAACACGTTGCGTAAACAAGGTCAACCCACCCACCTACCCTCTATATAGCGAAAGGAGACTAAGACTGAAATAAAAGCAACATCATCTTGATTTTTATTTCTGCAATTAAGACTTAGCGAAGCTCAAAGACATCGTTGAGACAACTGGTGTTAATTGTTTCGAAATCTAGTCAAGTGCTATGGACATTTGTCGGTTCGAGTTATGGTGGAAAAAAGGGTTAAGGGGGAATCTAAAGAATGCGAATAATAGAAAGGTTCAAATAACTGAAATTCCTGAGTGTGGAAGGCCCGATCAGACAGGCATTCAACCACAGAGCCCCAGGAAGCCAGTGATTAAAAAGCGACTGTGATAGGATGATCACTAAAAGATCCGTCCTGACCTTCCAGGTCTCATAAGGTGAGAAAGGATTGTTAGTTGAATTTTAATACCCATCTGATTGTGAAATAGCTAAACTATTAGTCCTTGATCACCTTAAGTGACCTAGATTGACTGGAAATCTGATAGTTTCAAAACCCACATTCTATAAATATAGAATTGTCTGGAGTGAGTCTGCAGGCATCGACACTGGTTGAGGACCTTAGCATTCAGAGAAGTACCTTTTAGCCATGCCTACGGTGGCCTGTCAACAATACCCATCCAGGAGGTTGACTGCTTTTCCTAGCCAACACAAAACAAGTGAGGCTTAAAGACACAGAATCGCTTACCTGTTCAACTTCACAGAGTTTGTCAACTCCGGCGCGAAATTGTGCCATACAAGAGTCGGCGATGTTGTAGATGGCTGAGAAGCTGGCCACCTCTTTCTGGTACTCGGGCATGGCTTTGAGCAGCTGAGAGAGATGGCGCAGCTCCGCCTGGCCCCCGCCCCCTCCGGTACCGGCGCCGATATCGCTGTCCGTCGAGACTGGGTTGTCGACGCCTCGATTCGACTGGTTCAACGAGTTGTTGATGAGGGCCCGCTTGCTCTCCGCAAAAGCACGAATACGCTGCGGCAGGATTCTGGAGACAGAGACGACACGAGGAGAGTATGTGAGCATACAAGAAAGCATATACAGACTTGAGTTTAATGTCGAATGATGAGCGTTCAAAATAGCCTATCCACAGTTCAC